AAGAGGAAGGATCAGCAGTTTGTTCCCAGTTTAAACCCTCTGGTGTCAAAACTCACTGAGCTCTAAAAATGAGATGGAAAGACCTTAAAACACTTGGCTGCCTTTCCTTTGTTGCAGCTGAGTGATTTTAATTAGAAAACAAGAGTCTGCCATCCCATCCTCACAGCTCTGTGACACTGATCTGCACTTGGTCACATGTTAATGAACAGAGTGGAGAACGTTCAGTGTCGCTGTCGAATTTTAAATCATGAATCCCCACTGTCTTCCTACTGGGTGACAAGTTGGTCATGCAATGAATAAAATGATATTATATACAAATATAATCCAATCAAATATTATTTAACAGCGTAAAATAGGACCATTAGGTGACAGTATTGCAAACTGCAAACCTAGGAATAACCAAGGCCGAGGGTGTTTGCAGTGTTAGCTACAGTAAGTGTGAAGCACCATGTGCTAACGCACTGCTGATGTACCACCGATATCCAACACCGAGTCCATTGTTCAGTTTCAACGCCTTTGTTGTAAAAGAGGCTTAAACATCTACCATAAACTTCAGTTGTTATTGACTACTAAAGAATGAACACAGAGGTTCCAGTGAGGAGCTGAGGGTTTCCACCACAGCACAAACAACCTAAGTGAGCAAACAAGTTCAAATTTAAAACTGACACTGAAGGACAATGTTTTGTGTTGACCATCAAGTTCCTCCTTTTAAATAGTTCTAACTTCGTCCAGACCCTCGTTACAAACTCAGGCTCAGTGTCAAACAAAGGCTCCACATCTGGTTCTGACAACAGAAATATGAAAACCAATCAAAGTCATTTTTAATTCCAGTCACTGATGGCGCTACCTAGCTTCAGAACAGTGCCAGTGTTGTCATCATCCTACATTAGACTGCGAAACATTTTCATCAGCCGACGGTGCTGTACACCACCACGTTATAGGTCTTTGACATTTCTTTCTTCAGTTCAGTGATGAGTTTATTTTCACACTTTGTTCATAATGAAAAAGAAAGTTCACGAAAGGGCAACGACTCAAGCACATCAAGCAAGGCAAGTTTTCATGTTTGTGTATTTTTAACATATTATTAATAGCTCAGTAGAAAGTCTATAGAGAACACTCTAAAAACACCTGATAACCTCAAACAATAAAAAAGAAATTAGGACTAAAAAACTAATACTAAATACCTTCACCTCAACCTCTGTAATAGTTGGCCAGATATTCTCATCTGTTCCGTAAGAGTTGACCAACTCTGACCAACGGAGCCACACATTAATCCCTGTTTTGCAAAAGAGCTCTGTCTTTTACTGACTGTTACCCTCCCTGCCTCCCCCTGCATGGGTGAGATTCTAATTATAGAAGAAGCTCTTTGCTCTGACCTGTGGATGAGCTGACGTACTGATGTCTGACTTTAGATTATTTCTTCACCTTCTTCTGCAAATTAACTACTTCAATGTTGGCAGTAACATCAAACCAGGGCTGTAGGTCCAGCACAGATCATCTGACCACCGTCAAGGAAAGACATTTAAAAAATGACAATCTCATAATGTGTGTCCTCGAAATGTCCCAGACAATCGGCATAGATTATCATCTATTTAAGTCTGAAACAAAAGCAGGCCAATTACAGTAAGAGGTGGGTGAGAGTGGTGATGGATGTTTGAAAGAATCCCACAAGGACAGAGATGGTAATAACTCCAGAGTGACTCAGGGGAGAGATGGGAAGAGCCTGATAGCGGGG